CTACAGTCTCTGATTACAGGCACAGCAATGGTGCATCCTTAAAGACACTACTCAAAGAAGAGCTCATATTCCCTACTCCCAGAAGAGTAATATACCCCAGTTTACTAGATTCAACTCAAGTTCACCTCTCCATTTAACATGCAGCACTTAGATTGATATATATAGATAAACAAGACCAAGTTTTTTAGTCCAAGCACAGCAATTCAAATGATAATAAGAATATTGGAAACAAAGTTACATAGAAACCAAAATCAGAACATGCCTGATAAAGTCTAAACTCACAAGCTATGCCACTTTCTCTGACAGGATCGCTTACTTCAAGTCCTTTTCCCAGCATTTTCAGCCAGGATGGCTGAGATTCCCCCTCCATAAGATCAAGCCCATAGGTAACTTGTCTTCAAACAGTGAAGGATGCCAGATCATCTCTCTGCACAACCCTACCCCCAGATATACCTACCAAGCCATACCTTTGATATTAATCTGAAAACTATGTGCTTCCACCCATCCCCTGTATTTATCTCCTTCTGAAATCTCTGGAGAATATTACAAGTGTTTAAATCAGTATGTGAATAAAATTTTATGGTATGACATAAGTATCTGCCTTCTTCTGTGGAGAGTTTGTCTCACAGTGCGTTTAAATCAGTATGTGAATAAAATTTTATGGTATGACATAAGTATCTGCCTTCTCCTGTGGAAAGTTTGTCTCATGGTGCACTTCTTTTGCGTGTCCTGCCTTCAATTACAGGTCACACAGAACCTAATTTTCCGCAGATATACTTAACTCCTCACGCATTTGCTACACATTCCTTTTACAGTGATTATGATGTCATAGATACCATATATGACATGATTTTGATGAACTTAGCAGATCCCTGAACCTCTACATCCTCTGAAAGTTGGCATCAAGAAGTTTTTTGGATTGCACCTAGTTTCTTGCTTGATCATGCAAGTACTAAATGCCAAGTCATTAGACTGGATCTTACAGTGCTATTATTTTCTCAAGACCTTTATACATTTCAGTTCTAGAATTCCAACAGGAACAAACCTTAATTATGGTGCCACCATCTTTATATGTCATTGAGAAGCCGGAGGCTCTTGCAGCACATTTGGCTTTCTCCCACTCATGCGTCTGGAGCCAGTCGTACATCTTCAGCACAGCTGTTAATCGACAGGGATCATTCAAGTTCTCAGAGAACTTATGGCTTTCCACTGCCTTGGCCAAGAAATGGTCCAATCTAGACCCAAAATGAGGTTGAAAAGTTCATTTGAAAATGAAAGCACTAGATACAAGGGACACACATCAAGACCAGTTAGTTTTTAACTCATAAAGGATAACTAATAATAATTTGGCAATACTTTAGGAAGTGTTATGTAATTCACAAGCACACAGCCTCCACTCTGCACTTCCCAACCCAGTTTCTGTCTGGAAAAACATCACACTCACAGCAATATTCCACAAGTGGCAACTAGCATGATCTAAACAGCACTTTGGCTTTTCCATGGGAGCTTGTTTCTTTCATCTGCATTTGGTTACTGAGACATGTATGGAGCTGTCATAGTCCACCTTCTAGGATCACATTATTCAGCTCACAGTGGCCAGTAATCCACATGTCTTGCCCCATAGAGGCTGAGAATTTGGGGAGGAGAGACATCAGCTGCCAGTGGGGCATAAAGGGGTTACAGCGTTATGGGTAGGTTCAGATTCTTTGTAAAAAGTTAAGCTCCAGAGGAAATATTTATAGATTCCCCTACCTTTGCTCCAAGACTCTTTTCTCTTCCTTCAGTTTTTCACACTCTTCTTCCTTCTGATGGAACTTTTCCAAACTGACCATTCTGGAAACCTCCCTGAAACAGATTCATGGACAAAATAAATATTCCCAACCATCCAATGATGCATACAGGAAGGCCAGTGTTGGCCGCACATTCTAGAAGCTATGAGACAGTCCCAGATTCTTATCAGCCTATTCTGCTAGCCCAGCTCACAGCGTAGTTATGATCAGAAATATATTTATGGCCTTGCAATGCTATGATGCTACAGCCACCTCCAGCACTGTAGTGACAGTGTAGGATATAGTGTTGTCATACAAAGATGCAACATTATGACAAGATTATTTGTCCTATTTGGCACAATTCAGGATCATTTAAATACTACATGGATTTACTCTCCCAGATATATTTATGAGAAAGGTAATGTGTAATACAAACCATGGTCTAATCCAACATCCACTGAAATCAATATCAAAACTCCTGTTGACATTGATAAGTGCAGGTTCAGGTCCTGCGTTTCAAACATCTTTTGAAGGACAAGCAATATTGTATGTCCTTCTCTCCCCAAAATCTTCTTTTCCCTCAGCACCAAAGTGGAAGCTGCTGTCTTCATGCACATTCATGAATTTTGCTCAGAATGTTCTGTTTGTAGAGTCACAACACATTCAAAAGTGGCAGACATACTAGAAAGACGGGAGGAGGGTGACTGGCCCTGGGTGAAGAGGCAATTCACAGAAATAACGCTAGTTATTTCGAAATAACAGTGCAGTGTAGCACACCTTTGGAGAAATAAAGATACTCCAGTCACTAGGCAGGTTGATATTTTATTATTAATACCCATAAGCACTCTGTAAATGTGGTGAGGAGAAAATAATTGTCAAGTGTGCTTAGAATTTCTTTTCTGTGGTAGGAATTTTAGAAGGAATCAAAATATTTTACAGTGTCATTGAGACCTGACCCACCCCGCTTACCTGCAGTGTTCTTTCAAAAGCAGTACACGTTTCAGTACATCTTTAAATTCAGGAGTCATCTCACTGTCGGGCACAAAAAGATGCAAAGGGATTAGAACTAAAATATTCATGAAGTAATAAGTGTGTATATCAGAGTTTCTAAAACTGTGTTCTGTGGCACACCAGTGTGCCGTGAGGACAGAATTCAAATGTCTGCCAATAAAGAGATGGGAGACCTTTTTTTCCCCTCAATAACTTTCCCACAACCTTTTTTTCTCAATAATTTTTCCCCCGGTCCTTCCCCCTGATAACTTTTTTTTTCTCCACAAAAAATCACTGGTGTTCCCCATAAAAAAAATTATTGTTTGGTGTTCCTCGGTATTAAAAAGTTTAAGAAACATTTATGTAGATGTTGCCATTGTTATTTCGAAATAACGCAGTGTAGGCACATCCTCGGAGAAATAGAGCTACTCCAATCACTAGGAAGGTTGATATTTTAGTATTAATATCCATAAGCATTCTCTAAATTTGGTGAGAAGAAAATAATTTTCAAATGTGTTTAGAATTTCTTTTGTGTGGTAGGAATTCTAGAAGGAATCAAAATATTTCATGCTGTCATTGAGGCTTCACCGATCCCACTTACCTGCAGTATTTTTCCAAAAGCTGTACACATTTCAGTAGATCTTTAAATTGAGGAGTCATTTCACTGTCGGGCACAAGAAGATGCAAAGGGATTAGAATTAAAATATTCATGAAGTAATAAGTGTGTAGATCAGTGTTTCTTAAACTGTGTTCTGTGGCACACCAGTGTGCTGTGAGGCAGTCAGAGGTTGCTAAGGAGAACAGAAATCAAAATGGCTGCCCATAAAGAGGTGGGCGACTTTTTTTTCTCCTCAATAACTTTCCCACAATCGTTTTTTCCTCAATAATTTTCCTCCTGGCCCTTCCTCCACTAACTCTTTTTTTGTCAGCAAAAAATCCTTGGCGTTCCCCATAAAAAAAAATTGTTTTGGTGTTCCTCGGTATTAAAAAGTTTAAGAAATATTTCTGTAGATGTTGGCATTGTTATTTCAAAATAACGCTGGTTATCTCAAAATAACACTGCAGTGTAGACACACCCTCGGAGAAATAGAGCTACTCCAATTATTAGGCAGGTTGATATTTTAGCATTAATACCCATAAGCATTCTCTAAATTTGGTGAAGAGAAAATAATTTTCAGGTGTGTTTAGAATTTCTTTTGCGTGGTAGGAATTTTAGAAGGAACCAAAATATTTCATGCTGTCATTGAGGCTTCACCGATCCCACTTACCTGCAGTATTTTTCCAAAAGCTGTACACATTTCAGTAGATCTTTAAATTGAGGAGTCATTTCACTGTCGGGCACAAGAAGATGCAAAGGGATTAGAATTAAAATATTCATGAAGTAATAAGTGTGTAGATCAGTGTTTCTTAAACTGTGTTCCATGGCACAGCGGTGTGCCGTGAGGCAGTCGGAGGTTTCCCAAAGAGAACAGAATTCAAAATGGCTGCCCATAAATAAGCGGGCGACCTTTTTTTTCCCTCAATAACTTTTCCACAACCTTTTTTTCTCAATAATTTTTCCCTTGGCCCTTCCCCCTGCTAACTTTTTTTTTTCTCAACAAAAAATCCTTGGGCTGTGTCTACATTGGCAAGATTTAGCACAAAAGCAGACACTTTTGCCCTACTCGGGTGAAGATTCTCTCTTTGTTATTTCTTAATAACGCTAATGATCTCGAAATAACAGTGCAGTATATACACACCCTTAGAGAAATAGAGCAATTCCAATCACTAGGGGTATGTCTACACTACAACGTTAATTCGAACTAACTTAGTTTGAGTTAGTTAATTCGAACTAAGCTAATTTGAACTAACAGATCTAGACTAAAAAACTAGTTCGAATTAGCGTTTTGCTAATTCGAACTAGCATGTCCACACAGAGTGGACCCTGAACCGGAATTAAGGATGGCCGGAAGCAGTGCCGGCAGGGCATCAGAGGAGGACTTAGAGCGTGGAGCTGCTGTCTCAGGCTAGCCGAGGGCTGCGCTTAAAGGGTCCCGACCCCCACCCCGGACAGACAGTTCTCAGGGGTGCCCTGCTTGCAAAGCAGTCCT